TTCCTTCCTTCCTTCCTTCCTTCCTTCCTTCCTTCCTTCCTTCCTTCCTTCCCTCTTTTTAAAAAAATAGTTTTGTAGATTTCAGAATGGAAGAGAGAAGGAGAGAAAGATCGAAACATCAATGATGACCAAAAAATCTCCCGCCACCTGGGTCCTGGGGAATCAAACCCAGGACCTTTGAGCGCCCAGGCTGACGCTCTGTCCACTGAGCCACACTCACTAGGGCTTGGGCGCAGCCTCATGGACACACTTTATTTCGCAGATGAAGATGCAGATGAGGATGGCGACAGCCTTTCCAGTCCAGACCACCAACCCCCCTGTAGGCTCCTCCTGGAGGAAGAGAGCCCTCAGGGCCAACGGCAGCCACGTGCATGGGGTGGCGGAGCTGCAGGGCATCATTTGGTCTTTCTACTCGTGGCTGCAGCCAGACACCCACAGTAAGCAGGACATGATTTTCCAACTGTCGGTGGAGCAGTTCCTGCTCAACAGGCCCAGCAGCGAGAGGGCCGCATGGCAGGAGAAGTGGGAGTCGAGTGGCAGGGACATGGCGGCGTTCATGGAGCAACTGCGGGGTGAAGTCCTGAGGCCCCCGAGAATGGTGAGTGGCCGGTTCTGACCCCTGGGGTGAGGGACGGAGCGGAGAAAGTTGTACCTGCTGTTGGGGGTCCCAGAAGTAGACAAGGAGCTACTGTAGGCTCGGTTCTTATTCCTCATCAAGGGGATGCTTTTAAACATAGATACTAGAGGCCCAGTGCACGAAATTCCTGCACTCAAGGAGGGTCCCTCAGCCCAGCCTGCACCCGCTCCCAGTCCGGAAGCCCTCGGGGGATGCCCGACTGCCAGCTTAGGCCTGCTCCCCATGGACATCCTGAGAGCTGCTGCAGAGGCCTGAGCCTGGCTTCTGGCTGAGCGGTGCCCCCTGGTGGTCAGTGCACATCGTAGAGACTGGTCTTTCCACCATTTGGTCAATTTGCATATTCGCCTTTTTTTATATAGGATGTTTTTTAATTTCAGAGAGGAAGGGAGAGGGAGAGAGAGAGAGAGAGAGAGAAACATCAGTGATGAGAGAGCATCATTGATCAGCTGCCTCTTGCACGCCCCACGCTGGGGATGGAGCCTGCAACCTGGGCCTGTGCCCTGACTGGGAATCGAACTGGTTTCAAAAGTCGATGCTCAACCGCTGAGCCAGGCCGGGTTGGGCTTCCAGTCTCTCTACAAATCAATGGAATTAAAAAAATAAAAATTAAAAAAAGCCATTCAGGATTGAGCAGAAGCCTCTAGGATGAGGAATGACTGAAGGAGAGCTACTTCCTCGTATGAGTCCTTGCTCTCCCTTAGGGAAGGCGCCAAACAGAAACTGCCAGGAAGTGCAAGGGCACGAGGGCAGGACAGTGAGGGATTGTGGGAAAGCTGGAGGGGGAGGGTTCCCACCAAGGGTTCCACGGCGGTGGGGATGCGGCACCGACAGTGACCAGGCTGTGTTCACAGATACCTGCCAGCATGAAGGGGCAGGAAGCCCTGTTCTCAGAGAACATGCCCTTTGGACAGGTCTGGGCCATCCTCCGGGAGCAGTGCTCAGCAGCAGCCCCCACGGCGCTCACCCCGGGGACACCCTCCCCGACGTCCCCAGAGACACCCCGACCAGCAGCACCAGGTGAGCGAGGGGGGCCCAGGGACCGGAGGGTGGTTCTGTGTGGAGTCTGTCTTGGGTACAGTTTCTGTGATTGATTGATTGATTGATTGAAATATATTTTTGATGCCCGGGGACACTACGTCCAGGGACTCCACATCCAGAGACTCCACGGCCCCGGCCTCCACATCCAGGGCCTCTACATCCAGAGACTCCATGCCCACGGACTCCATGCTTAGGGCCTCCACATCCAGGGACTCCATCCCCAGGCACTCCATGCCCGGAGCTTTCTCCCTGTAATGTGTGTGTGTCGATATATTTATCTATCCACTGAGCCAAACCGGTGAGGGCTGTTTTTCTTCTAAAGTGGATCTTCCTTCTTTCTTTCTCTCTTTCTGTCTTTCTCTCTCTTTCTCTCTCTCTTCCTTTCTTTCTATCTCTCTCTTATTTTAGGTTTTTATTTCATGACCCTTTTTCAGTTTGCTATCAACTTCTGGAAGAAAAAGAATCCCTAAAAAATTTATGACACAGCAGCTCAGCGTTGGGCCAGGATCATCCAGCGTGAACGTCCGTGTCCGTGAGGAGAATGGCATCTCAAGACGAACCAGCCAGGAACGGTCCCCGGGCAGGAAACTTCAAGCTTAGATCTCGCGGAGGACCCATCAACCAGGAGGGAGAGGAGGCGGAGGAGGTCGGCTTCCCCAGCCCTGGGCTCATCTCATTGAACAACGGCAGCCAAGGGCATGGGATGGTGGAGCTGCGGGGCATCTTTTGGTCTTTCTGCTCGTGGCTGCAGCCAGACACGCACAGTGATCAGGAGATGATTGTCCAACTGTCAATGGAGCAGTTCCTGCTCAACAGGCCCAGCAGCGAGAGGGCCGCGTGGAAGGAGAAGTGGGAGTCGAGTGGCAGAGACATGGAGGCGTTCATGGAGGACCTGGGGGATGAGGGCCTGAGGCCCCCCAGCTTGGTCCATGTCAGCATGGAGGGGCAGGAAGCCCTGTTCTCAGAGAACATGCCCTTAGGACAGGTCCTGGCCCACTTCCAGGAACAGCGCTCAGCAGCAGCCCCCATGGCGCTCACCCCGGGGACACCCTTCCGGACTCCCCCAGAGACACCCCGGACAACAGCACCAGGAGATGCAGATGAAGATGGCGACAACCTTTCCAGTCCAGACCCCCCCCCCCCTCCCTGCTCATCCTGCAGGGAGAGAGCCCTGAGGGCCCGCGGAGAGCGAGGTGTCCGGGGAGAGTCCACGCAGCTCCGGTTCAGCACGTCCAAGTGCTCCCACTGCCCAGGAAGAGCCTCCCCGAGGCGCCCCGGGAGGCGGGGAGCGCCCAGAAGCTGTACCGGTGCGACCAGTGTCCCCAGGTCTTCAGGTACCTCTCTCGGTTCCAGCTGCACCAGAGGAGGCACAACAAAGAGCGGCCCTTCGCTTGTGCCACGTGCGGCAAAGGCTTCTTCCAGGCCTCGGACCTGCACGTGCACCAGCTGATCCACGCGGAGAAGAGGCCCTTCCGCTGCGGCCGCTGCGACCGCGCCTTCAGCCACCGGACCAACCTGCAGGCGCACGAGCGCATCCACACGGGCGCCAAGCCCTACGCGTGCGCTCAGTGCGGGAGGACCTACCGCCAGTCCTCCACCTACCACCGCCACCTGCGGATGCACCAGAGGAAGGCCTCGGGATCTGGGGCCTCCACGCCCGGGGACACTACGTCCAGGGACTCCACATCCAGAGACTCCACGGCCCCGGCCTCCACATCCAGGGCCTCTACATCCAGAGACTCCATGCCCACGGACTCCATGCTTAGGGCCTCCACATCCAGGGACTCCATCCCCAGGCACTCCATGCCCGGAGCTTTCTCCCTGTAATGTGTGTGTGTCGATATATTTATTTTATTTTATTTTATATTTTTATTGATTTCAGGGAGGAAGGGAGAGGGAGAGAGAGAAACATCAATGGCGAGAAAGAGTCATTGATCACCTGCCTCCTGCATGCCCCCCACCACCGGGGATGAAGCCCACAGCCCCGAGGAATGTGCCCGAGAAAGTGGCTGACACGTTTCCAATGACCAATAAAGTTGTTGAATACATAAAAGTGTATTGTTTATTTCTTAAAATCCAGAAATGCGCCTGAGGCGGTGTGGAACGCGGCTCCCAGGTGGCTAGTGATACGGGCTGCGGGAGGTGCAGCAAGGAAACAAAGCTTGATCAGGTGCATGTAACTGAGGAGATTCACAACCCACGAGAACATTGTAAACATCTTGGCCGCACCCTTACTCTGCCTCATGGAATCTGGCTATAAAATAAAGACTCGGTTTGCAGGCCGTGGTGTTGTCTATGTTCTTTTGTTACGGGTTGACTCAGCGAGATAGACCACCGATTCAGAATTTAAGTTGGAGAGCCTTTATTAAGCTGGCCAGCTGACTACAGTTACAGCACCCTGCCGAAGCAGAGGCTGAACTGCAGCGCAGACTACAGGAGTTACATTTTATTAAATTTTGTGGAGGCCCAGAGAAAATGTGTCTTTCGAATTCTGGGCCCCCCAGTATGGAGGCAACTCTCTTTATTTATACTTGTCCCAGTCCTTTGTCTCCCAAATTTGGAATGAGACTTCCGGGCCTTCTGAGAAAGAAGGCCTGTGTGCTGGGAAGGGGCCATGAGATCATATCTCAAGGCCTGGCCTGATGTCAGTACCTTCCTATCTATGTGTTTTAGGAATAGACAGCACAGCATGACCCGTCTGGCCAAAGCGCCAGATATGCAGCCCAGTACACTTTAATCCTTCACTGCCCACCCCCCACCCCTCTCAGGTTCACCCATGGCTGTGCTGGCCTGGCCCAAGGTGGGACTACAACTAGGCCCAAGCCCAGGACACAAACCCTACCTGTGACCCCATCCTCTGTCCACAGCCTCCTTTTATTTATTTATTTGAGGCCTGGTGCATGAAATTCATACACAGGTAGGGTCCCTAGGCCTGGCCGGTAATCAGGGCCATTCTGTGGGGCGATCGATCGCTGCCCCCGCCCCCCCCACTGCACCCACCTAGGCTGGCCTGGGGCCTGCAGGCTGAGTTACCACCGCCACCTGCGGATGCACCAGAGGAAGGCCTCGGGATCTGGGGCCTCCACGCCCGGGGACACTACGTCCAGGGACTCCACATCCAGAGACTCCACGGCCCCGGCCTCCACATCCAGGGCCTCTACATCCAGAGACTCCATGCCCACGGACTCCATGCTTAGGGCCTCCACATCCAGGGACTCCATCCCCAGGCACTCCATGCCCGGAGCTTTCTCCCTGTAATGTGTGTGTGTCGATATATTTATTTTTCGATCGCTGCCCCCGCCCCCCCCACTGCACCCACCTAGGCTGGCCTGGGGCCTGCAGGCTGAGTGCAGCTCATGCATTGAGTGTCTGCCCCCTGGTGGTCAGTGCACGTCTTAGCGACTGGTCATGCTGCTGTTTAGCTGATTTGCATATTAGGCTTTTATTATATAGGATTTATTTATTATTTTTTATTTTTTTAATATATTTTATTGATTTCAGAGAGGAAGGAAGAGGGAGCTAGAGGGATAGAAACATCCATGATGAGAGAGAATCATGGATCGGCTGCCTCCTGCACGCCCCCCCACTGGGGATTGAGCCCACAACCCAGGCATGTGCCCTTGACCGGAATCGAACCTGGGACCTTTCAGTTCGCCGGCCGATGCTCTATCCACTGAGCCAAACCAGCTAGGGCCATTTATTATGTTTAATGTGCCACTGATGGGAATTGAACCCAGGACCCTTCAGTCCTCAGGCTGACACTTGATCCACTGAGCCAAACTGGCTAGGGCCACATTGTTTGTAAATCTGCAGCTTCAATAAACATACTTTCAAAATGTTCTGAACTCGTGTTGTGAAAATGTTTCCGCATGACGTCAAGAACTCAAACACTACAGGCCAACCTGAGGCAGACCCCCTCCAGGCTGCTTCCTGTTTGCGAAATCAGTTATGCCTGGGACACCTTCTATAAAGACAGACCAAGGCATGGTTTTGCTTACAAGGGTTGGGAGGAAATGTGATGGCACACACTCACTTTGGTGTTGAGTCAATTCAATCTTAACACTATTCTTTTATTTTACATGTTTTCATTGATTTTTTAGAGAGAGAGGGGAGAGAGTGAGAAACATCAATGGTGAGAGAGAATCATTGATTAGCTGCCTCCTGCACGCCCCCTACTGGGATCTAGTCCCCAATCTGGGCATGTGCTCTGACTGGAAATCTAACCAGCCATCTCTTGGTTCATGGGTCCTCCACCGAGCCATGCAGCCTGGGCACACTATTCTTGTTAATTGTTGGCTCTAGTACAGATGTCTCCATTTCTCCCCTCCCATCCCCTTTGCTTCCCTCTACGCTACCCTCACCGCCTCTAGGCCCTCAACACATTACTGTCTATGTCCATGGGGTGTGCATATCTTATATAATAAAGCGATAATATGCAAATTGACTCTCACACCCTCACGCCAGAAGATGGCCATCACAAGATGGCCACTCTCGTGTCATCAGTCACAAGATGGCCGGCAGGGGAGGACAGTTTGGGGTGATCAGGCCGGGAAGGGGAGGGCCATTGGGAGTGACCAGACCTGCAGGGGAGGGCAGTTGGGGGCACAGGACCTGCAGGGGAGGGCATTTAGGGGGGACCAGGCCTGCAGGCGAGGGCAGTTGGGGGTGATCAGGCTGGCAGGGAAGCAGTTAGGCGTCAATCATGCTGGCAGGGGAGTGGTTAGGTGTCAATCATGCCAGCAGGGGAACAGTTTGGGGCAATCAGGCAGGCGAGCGGTTAGGAGCCAGCAGTCCCAGATTGTAAGAGGAATGTCCGACTGCCAGTTTAGGCCCGATCCCTGTGGGGTTCAGACATCCCCCAAGGGGTCCCAGATTGGAAAGCGTGCACGCTGTGCTGAGGGCCACTGTGGCCCCCCCATCCCATACACGAATTTCGTGCACCTGGCCTCTAGTATGTATATACTTCTAAAAATATATTTTATTTTAGAGAGAGCAAAGGACAAGGAGGGAGAGAGAAAAACATCAATGATGAGAGAGAACCTCTGGGAATTGAGCCCACAACCCAGACATGTGCCCTGACTGGGAATAGAACCATGACTTGGTTCAGAGGTTGATGCTCGACCATTGAGCAACACCAGCTGGGCTATATTGATTTTTTAAACATTAAAAAATATGTATTTTTTTTATTGTTGATAGTGGTACAGATGTCTCCCATTTCTCCCCTGTGTATATATTCTTTGTTGGATCTCTTCCAGTCCTCCCCACCCCACCCCCTCGGAGATCTGTCAGTCTGTGCCAGGCCCCTGTTCCTACTTGTCCTTCTCCAGTGCCATTTGGGGTATCACAACTCCTTTTTAAAAAAAATATATTTTATT